CCCCAAAACCCCAAAACCCCAAAACCCCAAAACCCCTTAAATTCATTAAATAATTGGGTAATTTTAACAATTAAAAATGGAATCGACAAGTGAACATATAGAGTATTTCACTTCATCAAGGAAATGGGTGCCAAATTTCACACCTGAGTCTACCAAAGAGAGCTTTTCTGGAGTACACAACAGTCGTATGCTGATGTTTAACCTTTAGGGATCTCTTTAATGAGCTACAACGTACTTGCAGATTCATACCTAGGCCATGTTGATTATGGAGATGTAGATCCTTGTGTCCTAGACTGGAGTTATAGATACAAACTGATCCAAGCTGAAATAGAGCACCTTGACCCAGACATCATTTGTATGCAAGAGCTTGAAGATGAGGTGCTCACTGAAGCTCTTTCCAACAGTAAGCTTAGATCTTTGTCAGATATTTATGATTTAGAACTTGTTGATGGGAAAATCATCCCAAATTACGCCTCAACTTTTATTTACAAGATTGATAAATAACGACTGAGTTTGAATTTTCTGGAAGACATCTAAATTTGAATCGCTTGGGAGCTGGTGTATTGAGTTCAATAATCCCAGAGCAAGGTCTCATCTGTACTGTAAACAGCATGTGGCTAGCTTTGCAGCCTTGAAATTAAAGAACCATCCTAAGAAGAGGATTATTCTGGTGGCTACCACTCATATTCTATACAACACTGGAAGAGGGGATATTAAATTAGCACAGTTAGACTTGGCGACTAAGTCTCTGGCCATGATCAAGAATCATTTGACTAAGAAGTACAAAAACTATGATATTTCTACAATTTTGTGCGGAGATTTCAACTCTGTTTCCAGGAGTGGGCTGTATCAGTACCTTTCTGAAGGAGAGTACGATTGTTCATCTCAAAACAGGGACGAAATATCTGGCCAAAGGTACTATTTTCATTTAATTTTAGGCACGAGTTTACTCATGATGAGGATGGATACAAGTCTTGTATTCAAAAATTGCAGCCAAATCCAGAAGCTGAACCGCTAAAGCTGCCGTATTGGTTCTTAGAGATTAATAATACTTCAGTATTTGTCAGAAATCCCTATGATGATAATGTCTTCATTGAATTCGGCATCCAATGCGATTTCTTGTTGATGCTTGAAACCTGCAAGTCTATTGAGAATGACTTAGAGCTTCTTTATACTCAAAGTAAGTTTCTTAGATCTCATCAAGTTCTAGGCCACAAGAGAGCAATCCTTGACCAAGCAGATGACTCAGACGACGAAATAGATTGGGCTGCAGAGTCGAAAGAAGATGAAGCAACACCCATAGATCCTAAAGATATTGTAAATTAGCATTCACTATCTAGTTTAGCCCCAACATGAGTTCATCCTTAGAAATCTTGCAGGAAAATTCAAAAGTGTGTATCCCAGAGCAATGGATATCCTGGAAGCTGTGCTTTTTGAGGAATCTCAAACTACATCTAGCAAAGAAGGTAATTCTCAACTAGAGTCTTTATTCAAGCAGAGGTTAGATTTTTAGTACCATATAGCCTCTGTGGGTCAAGTAAAGCTAAATGAGACTCTCTAAACTAACTCCATTAATCCATTTGAGCTTCTATCAAAGCTGATAGACTCCCTGTTTTGCTGGCCTAGTTAGAACTCCAAAATTAGACAAAAAATTGAAAATTGTCACTTTTGGAAGTTTCCTTTACCGATCTTAAAGCTGCTTAAGCAACAAGAGATTCATCTTAATTAGCTCATAACTCTTGGTTAAGGCAATTTCTCGTCCTACAGAATAACTGTGTCTCTGGAGATTGTTTTTTAAGCTCTTAAAAATGAGAACTTAAGTTGAGCTCGAGAGATTTAGCTCAAACTTGTGATTTATACCTCTTAAAGACATTCCTTAATGCTTATAGATCTGTCAAGACTCGAGAAATTAGGCGCGAATTCCCAAGAAATTAGAGAGAAATACAACGAAGGAGATACTATCTTCGGAGCTTTCAAGCCTAATTTCCACGACAAAGAGGAATTTGAGCAGTATTTCTCAGGGACCACCAAAGAGCTTGCCTTCACTTCTTATTTTGAAGAGAAACTTCTACTAGATTACATCTGGTACCAAGGTGCTCATATAGATGTTATCAGGGTCCTTGACATGCCATGCTTTTATACAGACCTTGCGAGGTTTGAAGGAGCTCCAAATGAGTTGATCCCATCTGACCACTTACCAATAATGGCTGAATTTTATATTGACTAGCTCATATATTTCAACCTTAGCAGAATTGAGAGGGGTTTTGGGGTTTTGGGGTTTTGGGGTTTTGGGG